TTTATTTGAGAGAGAGAGAGCATGAGTGGGAGGGGCAGAGAGAGGGAGAGGGAATCTCAAGCAGAGCCCCACGTGGGGCTCCATCCCAGGACCCAGAGATCATGACTGAGCCGAACCCAAGAGTTAGAGGCTTAACCGACTGTGCCATCCAGGTGCCCCCCAAAATAAATAAACTTTAAAACAAAACAAAAGCTACTTAAGCTGTAGAATTTTCATAATCTTGCTTAACAAGAAGCCAGCAGAACAGTCCCTAGATTGACTCAGTGGCTTAGCCTGTCCCCCAGGACTTTGCCATCTCTCCCCTCACCCACCCTCCTTGGCAACATCTTCCCTCAAGGTTGCAAGGTGGCTGCTGCAGATCCAAATATCACACTATCGTGCAACAACATCCTGAATCCTCCCTCCTTCTCTCCTCTTTTTTCTTTTTTAATCACAGAGGGCAATCTTTCTTAAAAGCCCACCCCCACCTCCCACCAGGAGATGTCCCCTTTCACTTCACTGGCCAGAACTGGGGCACACAGGCTCCACTGACCCAGCCACAGGGCACATGTGGTGGCGTGGGCCATGATTCATCCTATCAACAGGGAAGAGGGAATGCTTGCTGGGAAGTGACCCCCTGTGTCTGCCATTACAGTTTTGTTCTTTTCTCTGATTCCAGGAGTCATATATGTCCAGTGTAGACAATTTAGGAAATCCAAAGAAGGATGAAGTAGAAAATAAAATCGCATATTCTATCACCTGGATCCAAGCACTGTCTTATCACTTGGCACTGCTTTTATCCCTCTCTGCGCTCTGCTCCACACCGCCCCCCATCCTGCTCTTGCACCAGCCCTTCATCTCTGCCCACCCACTCCCAAACCACCTTCGGTTTGGCACGGAAACCCTTGCTGTGGGCATTGACCCCAAATTCCTCCCTCGCTTCTTTTTAAAGCTGTGAAAAAAAAATCGTAAATAACAGAGTATGTAAAATGGATGTGTATGGTTTAAATAATGATGTGATGAACGCTTGTGAACCCACCACTCAGCCTGAATGCTTTGAAGCCCTCATCACATCCCCTCCTGAAGTGGCTGTTACTTATTGCATTAATCATTCTTTTTTTTAAGATTTTATTTATTTGAGAGAGAGAGAATGAAAGACAGAGAGCACAAGAGGAAAGAGGGTCAGAGGGAGAAGCAGACTCCCTGCTGAGCAGGGAGCCTGACATGGGACTCGATCCCGGGACTCCAGGATCATGACCTGAGCCAAAGGCAGTCGCTTAACCAACTGAGCCACCCAGGCGCCCTGCATTAATCATTTGTGGCCACAAAAATGCCATGTACTGCCTCAAAACTCAACAAGCATTCATCTCACTCTCATGGTCTGCAGGTTGCACTAATCTAGATTGGGCTTGGAGGGGTGGCTCTGCTTCAGGTGGTGGCTTGTCTGGGTTTGGCTCCGTACTGCAGGCTGGACCCAGGTCTGCTCCACATGTCTCTCATCCTACTAGGATCAGAGTCTACCTGGTGCATATTCTCCTCCTGGCAGCTCACTGACATGGGAGAACCACGTCCAACAGCAGCATAAGCACGTTTAAGGCACTGCCCAAGTCATGTTTACTAACATTCCGCTGGCCAACGCAAATCATGTGGCCAAGCCCAACCTCAGCGGGACAGGGAAGTGCGCTCCCTTCACAGCAGAGGGAGGGACCCTGAACATTTCCTAAACCATAATCCAGACTGCCACAAACATGCCTTTGGTTTTCTTTATGGTTTTGTCAGAAAGGGATGTATCTCTGCGTAATATATTAGTTGGTTTCCTCTGGTTTTGAATTTTATTTTTTATTTTTTTTAAGATTTTATTTATTTATTTGACAGAGAGAGACACAGTGAGAGGGAACATAAGCAGAGGGAGTGGGAGAGGGAGAAGCAGGCTTCCTGCAGAGCAGGGAGCCTGATGTGGGGCTCAATCCCAGGACCCTGGGAATCATGACCTGAGCTGAAGGCAGACACTTAACGACTGAGCCACCCAGGGACCCCTGGTTTTGAATTTTATATAAGTGGATTCTGAGTGGATATATTTTCTCGGAATTATGTTTCTCCTCCCTTCTCCTTACTTTGTTTTCTCCCTGTTTTATCAGTCATGAAGTTTGGTTGTGAACACAGACACCAATTCTGGCTCACTTAAAGGAAAGGAATTTATTGGAAGGTTGGGTGGTTCACAGAATTGATGGGAAGGTTGGATGGAGAACCAGGCTCAGGAAGTGGACAGGATACAGATGAGTAGTTGCCTGGGGCTGGAGATGGAGAGTCCCTCTACAGGGAACTCCCTGTAAAGGGGCACAAAGAAACCTTTTGGGTTGGGTGCCTGGGTGGCTCAGTTGGTTAAGCAACTGCCTTTGGCTCAGGTCATGATCCTGGAGTCCCGGGATCGAGTCCCACATCGGGCTCCCTGCTCAGCAGGGAGTCTGCTTCTCCCTCTGACCCTCTTCCCTCTCGTGCTCTCTATCTCTCATTCTCTCTCTCTCAAATAAATAAAATCTTTAAAAAAAAAAAGAAAACTTTTGGGTTGATGAAAATATTTGGTATCTTGATTGTGAGAGTGGTCATATGGGATTAGTCAAAACTCATCAAAACTATACACTTCAAATGCGTGCAGTTTATTATATGTAAATTATGCACTACCTTGATATAAAAAAGAGGACCTGCTTCATTTAATAATAATTTTTAAGTCTGTAGTGGCTTGTGCTTGAGAAAACAACTATGGGGTTCTCCCCAGACCAGTTTTACATGATTTGGGTGCTATTTCTGGCTCTATACCTGGTTCTCTAGGCCTCTTGTTGATTCTGTGAGCTCCCCCATAGCACTTTTTGTTTTTGAAATATAAACAGATATATCTCAAGAAACAATTCAGTGATTTAAGTATATTCACAGAATTGTGACACCATCACCACAATCAATTTTAGAACATTTCATCACCCCAAAGAGAAAGGCCATTATACTCTGGCAGTCATATGGTGCTGCTATAACAAAGTGTCTGGGTGGCCTAAAGCAACAGAAATGGATCCTTTCACAGTTCTGGAGACAAGGAGTCCCAAACAAGGTGCTGGTAGGACCATGCTCTCTCTGCAGGCTCTCGGGAAGAATCTGTTCCATGCCTTTCTCTTAGCTTCTCATGCTGCCAGCATTCCTTGGTGCTCCTTGGCTGCCAGGCACATCACTGCAAGTTGCTGCCTCTGTGGCCACGTGACATTCTCCTCTGTGTCTCATGGTTTCACATGGCCTTCTTTTCTCTTTGTGCATCTCTCTGTGTGTCTGTCCTCTTATAAAGACATCAGTCATATTAGATGAAGAACACACTCTACTCTAATATGACCTTATCTTAGTTTATATCTTGATTATGTTTGCAAAGACCCTATTTCCCAAAAAGGTCACATTCACAGGTACCAGGGGTTAGGACTTTAGCATACCTGTTAGGGGGACATAATTCAGCCCGCAACACCTTCTCATCCCTAGGCAGCCACTAAGCTACTATCTGTATTTATGGATTTACCTACTCTGGACACTTCATATAAATGTAATCATACAATATGTAGTCTTTTGTGACTACTTTCCTTCACATAGCATAATGTTCTCAAGGTTCATCCATGTTGTAGCATACTCTATTAGTACTCCATTACTTTTTATTTGAAATAACATTCCATTGTATAGATATACTGTATTTTGTCTATTCATTCCTTAATTGATGGACATTTGGGTTGTTTCCGTTCTTTGGCTATCACTAATGGTGCTGCTGTGAACATTCTTTTACATATTTTTGTGTGAACATATGTTTTTTTTAAAGATTTTATTTATTTAT